TGTCTCTTCTGCTCTTTTCCTTACCCTTCTCCTTTTCAAGTTCTTCCTTTTTCGTTTTTCTGTTTCGAAAAGAAAGAGGGAAGGGAGAGAGAAGGGAGAGAGGATAGATAAAGAAGAGTGCCATTTTCTTTGCGCCTTGTTTTGTCTCTCCATCTTCTTTGTTCATCTCTCTTTTCTATTCTTTTCTTGGCTCTTCCCATTAGAATTGTGTTCCGTCGATCTCTCCTCTCTCCTTCTCTTTCCCTTCTCTTCTCCTGTTCCCCTTTAAATGACAAAAACACGAGAAAGGAAGAACAAGAGAGGAATGGAGGCCCTTTTCCTGAATTCTCCTGTTGCAATGAATAAGGAAAAGAGCATAGGAGATAAGGAAGGGAATTGTGGGCGATGGAACGGGTGTCCTTTTTGATAGTTTTCTGCATCTTCAAGGAAGAAAAAAGGACACCCGCCCAAGAAGGAAAAGTAACATAAGAGATAGGGAGGAAATTGAAAAGCTCCTCTCTTTACCTAGTCATTCCCTGTCCTCTCTTCTTTTTTGTTGTTTTTCTTATTCGCTTCAAAAAGCAAAATAACAAAATAAGGGAAAGGCGATTTCCTGAAGAGGAAGAAGGGCGCCTACCTGTGAATAGCAAGGTTGATTTTTTCTAATTAGGGAGAGACTTGCCCCGCCTGAGCCTCCCTGGCCTGCTTGTTGTGGCCACATTCCGGTACAGTTGCGCTTCCAGAAAAATGGCATCCTTGTTATCTCCTCTCACTTCCCTTTCCCTTCTCTCCTTCTGTTTCCTTCTGACTGATAAACCACAAGAAAGGAACTTGTATGATAAGGCAGTGGAAGGGTAAGCAGAGGGTGACTCCTGGCGCGTGGACCGGTCCATACTTCGTCATACCCCTCCTCTCGGCCTATCTCTTCTGTTCCTTTCCTTACCCTTCTCCTTCTCATAGTTCTTCCTTTTTGTTCTCTTATTTCGAAAAGAAAGATGGCAGGGAGAGATAAGGAAGAGAGGATAGATAAAGAGTGAGTGCCATTTTCTCTGCGCCTTGTTTTGTCTCTCCCTCTTCTCTATTCATCTCTCTTCTATTCTTTTCTTTGCTCTTCCCATTAACAATGCAATCCTTTTGTCTCTCCTCTCTCCTTCTCTCTCCCTTCTCTTCTCCTGTTCCCCTTTAAATGACAAAAACGCAAGAAAGGAAGAACAAGAGGGGAATGGAGGCCATGTTCCTTTCTTTTCCAATGGATGGGGAAAGTGAGCGGGGTTGGCTCCTTGTCCGTAGACCCTCCCCACGCTGCAGCAAATCCCTCCTCTCGCCCTATCGCCTCTGTTCTTTTCCTTGTTCCCAAACGGAAAAAGAAAATGGGTTCCTTTACATGTTCATTGTTCTTCCTTTTGTTTTCTATTTAAAAGGGAAAGATAAGAAAGAGAGGAAAGAAGAAAACGAGCACCATCCTCTCTTTGCCTGATTTTGCACCTCCCTCTCCTGTCTTCATTTCTCTTCCATGACTTTCATTGCTCTTCCCATGAAAATTGTTTCCTTTTGATCTCTCCTCTCTCCTTTCTCTCTCCCTTCTCTTCTCTTGTTCTCTTTTGAATCTCAAAATCACACCAAAGGAAGCTTCTTTTCCTTATTGAATTAAAAAGAAAAAGAAGAAAAGAGATAGGTAAAGACACTGAAGAGCTCCACTGCCTATTGTTTCATTCCCTTTCCTCTCTTTCTATGTGTTGTTTTCCTTGTCGTTTCAGAAAGCTAGCAAAATAAGGGCAAGGGGGCTTCCTGAAGAGGAGAGAGGGCACCTATTTTTTAATTATAGAGGGAAAAGCGAGAGACAAGGAAGGGACAGATGATAGATAAAGAAGAGTGCTATCCGTCTCCTTGTTTATTGTGTCTTCTCTTCTTTTCAGTACCCCTCCAGAAAATTCAAATGGCCTCCTTGTTGTCTCTCCTCTCTCACTTCCCTTGCCCTTCTCTCCTTCTGTTACCTTTTAACTAATATAACACAAGAAAGGAACTTGTATGATAAAGCAGTGGAAGGGTAAGCAGAGAGTGACTCCTTGCGCGTGGACCTTGCCCATACTTCATCATATCCCTCTTTTCGGCCTGTCTCTTCTGCTCTTTTCCTTACCCTTCTCCTTTTCAAGTTCTTCCTTTTTCGTTTTTCTGTTTCGAAAAGAAAGAGGGAAGGGAGAGAGAAGGGAGAGAGGATAGATAAAGAAGAGTGCCATTTTCTTTGCGCCTTGTTTTGTCTCTCCATCTTCTTTGTTCATCTCTCTTTTCTATTCTTTTCTTGGCTCTTCCCATTAAAATTGTCTTCCTTTTATCTCTCCTCTCTCCTTCTCTTTCCCCTCTCTTCTCCTGTTCCCCTTTAAATGACAAAAACACAAGAAAGGAAGAACAAGAGGGGAATGGAGGCCCTTTTCCTGTATTCTCCTGTTGCAATGAATACAGAAAAGAGCATAGGAGATAAGGAAGGGAATTGAGGAGCTCCTTTCGCTACTTTCTTATGCCCTTTCCTTTGTATCTACCACACAAAAACACCACTCTCAGCTTCCAAGAATACTCTCGTGGAGACGCATTGGTTAGTCTAAAAACCCGAGTCTCTGCTTCCAAATAGACCCTATTTAAGCCACCCACGGGGGGGGGGGGGGGTCCGGCCTGGGGCCCTAAACTATTCAAACTAGTCAAACTATTCAAACTATTCAAACTATTCAAACTATTCAAACTATTCAAACTATTCAAACTATTCAAACTATTCAAACTATTCAAACCCCCAGGGTTTGAATAGTTTGAATAGTTTGGATAGTTTAGGGCCCCAGTTCGGACCCCCAAACTATTCAAACTATTCAAACCCCCCCCCTCCTCTCCTCCCAGGGACCCCCCAAAACTATTCAAACTATTCAAACTATTCAAACTATTCAAACTATTCAAACTATTCAAACTATTCAAACTATTCAAACTATTCAAACTATTCAAACTATTCAAACCCCCAGGGTTTGAATAGTTTGGGTTTGAATAGTTTGAATAGTTTGGATAGTTTAGGGGCCCAGGCCGGACCCTCCAAACTATTCAAACTATTCAAACTATTCAAACTATTCAATAGTTTGAATAGTTTGAATAGTTTGAATAGTTTGAATAGTTTGAATAGTTTGAATAGTTTGAATAGTTTAGGGCCCCAGGCCGGACCCCCCCCCCCCAGGGTTTGAATAGTTTGAATAGTTTAGGGCCCCAGTTCGGACCCCCAAACTATTCAAACTATTCAAACCCCCCTCCGCCCTCCTCTCCTCCCAGGGACCCCCCAAAACTATTGAATAGTTTGAATAGTTTAGGGCCCCAGGCGTGACCCCCCAAACTATTCAAACTATTCAAACCCCACTCCCCCCCCCCCAACAAAAGGACGAATCATCACATTATACACAAAGGTTCCTGCCTCATATATATATATATATATATATATGTAGGGGTTATATAGGGGAATAAGCCTTATGCCCATCAATTCACAGCCTCCCCTACCCAGCTTAACTGATCTCAGAATATGTGCTTGGGGAGGGGGGGCTAGTATAGGGGTTAGGGTTGAGGGCTTCGGGTCTAGGGCTCGTGGGGTTCAGGGTTTAAGGTTCAGGGGCTTGCAGCGTTTAGGGTTTAGGGTTTAGGGTTTAGGGTTTAGGGTTTAGGGTTTAGGGTTCAGGCTTCAAAATATGGGGCACATAAACACGACGCCAAGATTCTGAAGCAGGCGCAGCACGTTGTCAAGCAGGAAGACGCCACAATCAACCCCTCAGGGAGAGGGCCGGGACATGTGAGCCCTAAACCCCAAAGCCTAAACCCTAAACCCTAAACCCCAAACCCTCAACCCCTAACCCTAAACCCTAAACCTCACAGAGCCTTGGGCTTTGGGGAATCGGGCCAGGGGAGCATCTTTTTTTGGAGCTGAGGGGTTTGGGGTTTCGGGCTTCCTCGTTTGGGGTTTCGGCGTTAGGGTTTTCATCGAAACCTCCTGAGGCACATTCTAAAGACGGGTTTAGGGTTTAGGGTTTAGGGTTTAGGGTTTAGGGTTTAGGGTTACAGCTGTCAGTCCCTTTGACCTGAGGCTCCAGCCATTATCCTGCTCCTCTGCTTTCAGGCGCTTCGCGGCGGAAAGCCTGCCCGACAGCAACAGAGGCAAACCCTAAACCCCCACCCACGCCCCGGATGAAGGTGCGTCATCCTTTCCCAGACCCGAAGCCCGAAACCCCTTCGACACTTCAACCCTAAACCCCACTTAACCCTTATAGGCCCCAAACCCGAACTAAACCCGAAAAAGCCCTAAACCCTAGACCCTAAACCCTAAACCCGTCTTTAGAATGTGCCTCAGCGCGCCGAAATCCATGTCCACACCACCCAGGCCACGCTCGCGCCACTCCCTCTGCAGGTAGCCTGCCAGCTAGACTTTGAAGGGCTCAGGGTGGGTTTAGAGTTCAGGGTTTAGGGTTTGGGGCTTAGGGCCTAGGGCTTACCCTAAGCCCTAGAAGCTGAAGCGAAGTGAGCCCCTGAAGGACAAGATCTGCAGGTTCTGGGCGAAACGATTTTGCCAACCCGGCTCAAGCACTTTAAGGGTTTAGGGTTTAAGGTTTAGGGTTTAGGGCGTAGGGGTTTGGGGTGGGTTTAGGCGTTTGGGGTCGCTTGGGGTTTGCCAGGGGCCTCCCAGGAATCCCACGACGCTTTCGTAGCGCGAGTCCTGCGCTCGGAAGGCATTTGGGGTTCTAGGGCTTTGTTGCAGGGTTTGTAAGTTTAGGATTTAGGGTTTAGGGTTTAGGTTTTAGGGTTTAGGGTTTAGGGTTGTTAGGGAGTTCAGAGTTGAGGGTTCCTAACCTTTACCTAGAGGAATAAGCAGGGCGCCCTGCTGAACTTAAAGGGGGGAGCAGAACTATACCCGTTCTTGGTGATAACTTTGTCGAAGCCCTACTCTGGAAGGTTCACGGGCACTGGCAAGTGGGGGGGTTATACCCATAGCTACCTTTCTTATAACCCTGCTAGACGTTCCATTGAACCTCCAAGTAGGCCCTAACCTTGAAGCCTAACCCAAAACCTCAACGGGTATAAGGAGGGACCCCTGCGTATATAACCCCTATATATGTACATACCTTACATAGTCCCTATATACCTAAGTAGCCCCCCAAATAGCCTCTAAATAACCCCTAAGGTCCTCCTTTAGTCCCTTGATTACCCTAAACCCTAACCCTAAACCCTAAACCCTAAACCCGAAACCCTAAACCCTAAACCCCGTCCTCCCCCGGCAGCGAGTCGAGAAGGCAAAGCGTGGGCCGCGGCGCATCGAGGCGGATCAGCGCCAGCCACCTTGAAGGAAGCTTGGGAAGTTTGGGGGCTGAGGGTTTAAGGGTGTAGGGTGTGGGGTTTGGGGTTTAGGGTTTAGGGTTTCGGGTTTAGGGTTTGGGGTTTAGGGTTTAGGGTTTCGGGTTTAGGGTTTAGGGTTTATATAGGGTTTAGGGTTTAGGGTTTAGGGGGCTTAAGGCTTAGAGGTTGGAGTTTAAGGGGCTCTAGGGTCTAGGAAATTAGAGTTTAGGGGTTTGAAGGGCTAAGGCCTTGAATTTACTGCTTGGGGTTTTGGAGGGAACCGATGCCCTAAACCCTAAACCCTAAACCCTAAACCCTAAACCCTAAACCCTAAACCCTAAACCCTAAACCCTAAACCCTAAACCCTAAACCCTAAACCAAACCCTAAACCCTAAACCCTAAACCCTAAAGATAGGCGCGAGCCAGCCACACCTCGTGTGCCCAAAGGCCTTATACGCTACTCCCTTACCCTGAACTCTCCCTAGACACTCAACAATAAACCCTAAACCCTCACCCCTAACCCTAAACCCTAAACCCCTAAACCCCTAAGCCACTAAACCCCTAAACCCCTAAACCCCTAGACCCTAAACCCCTAAACCCCTAAACCCCTAAACCCCTAAACCCCTAAACCCCTAAACCCCTAAACCCCTAAACCCCTAAACCCCGAAACCCCTAAACCCCTAAACCCCTAAACCCCTAAACCCCTAAACCCTAAACCCTAAAACCCCATAGAGTGAGTGTAGCTCGCTGCGGAGAGGCTCGTCTTTCGGCCAAGAGCTCTCATTTGGAGTCTGGCGCTTTTGCACGTTCTGGACCCGAAACCCTAAACCCTAAACCCTAAACCCTAAACCCTAAACCCTAAACCCTTTGGCGCTGCTTAGGGCTTTAGGGGCTCTAACATAAACCAGGTCGCCTGGTTCCACCTTACGCAAGCCTTCTCATGGCCCTTTATGGGACAAAAACGGTCGGTCGATGTAGAGTTCTTAGGTTCAGGGCGAAACCTTCGCTTCCCCAACACCCTAAACCCTAAACTCTAAACCCTGAACCCTAAACCGTAGCCCTAAACCCTAAACCCTTAAACCCTAAACACTTAAACCCTTACACCAAACCCTAAACCCTGAACCCGAAACCCTAAACCCTGTCGTTATCTGGGTCGCTGGCCAATGCATCTCCAAATTCACGGGCACGATGGCGAGCTTCCGGGAGAAGAGCCTCAGCGGGAGTCGCGCAACAGAAGATTCACTGGCCAGATGTCCAAACGCGGGGGATCGGGCTTAGGGTTAAGGGTTTAGGGTTCAGAGCTTGGGGCTTAGGGTTTAGGGTTCAAGGCTTTGGGGTTCAGGGTGTAGGCTTGAGCTTACCATCCTACACGCCGCACACTGAACAGGGCCGAGCGACGAGGCCTTCTTCGTCCACCCTTTCACGTTCTCCCAGCCGACCTCGCCATTCACCGCCTGCGCTGCCGTGAGGCGGGTGTAGAAGTGCGTGGAGAAGAGGTGAATGTCACCTGAGGCTTGACACCAGCAGAGCTAGACCCAGGAGTATAACCTAAAAAAGGGCACCCTTTTGGGTTTTAAGGGGATTATAGGGGGAACCCCACCCCTAGAGGAAGGAAGTAAGGGCCTACTCCGGGTCCTTGAGAGTCTGACGCAGAAGTCACCTCACCACTACGCGTGCCCCCTAAGGCTCCACCTCTCAAATACCACAGCCTCTGCAGTCAACTCTGATCTTTCTGTTGAGCTTCTAGGCCCGGTATCACAGCCTTCTAAAGCAGGAGCCTGTAGAGTTACCCATGCTATCGCCTCATTCTTGCCGCTCGGAAGCAATTCGGTAGGAGCTGGCTCATCATCAGCTGTAGGAAGAAGTCCACAACCTTCAGCTCCCACTTAACAGGGTCCCCCTAAAAGCAAGACGCTGCTTCCCTACAGTTCGGCAGACGCCTCTACTCCCCTCAACCCCTGAGCCCTAAACCCTCAACAGCCTGCCACACATGCCGCCCAAGTCGCGGCATCGTTCAACATGTTGCCCTCCTGTGCAAGGAAGGTCTCTCTCTCTCCCTCCCTCCCTCCCTCCCTCTGACCACAGGTCCTGCTTATCAATCCAAACAACCAAAAACAGCCCTGGAAACCCGAAAGGCCCTGTACTACGAAGCCTTAACAGCAATCTTGCGGATACCCAAACTCTCCCAAACCCCTAAACCCTCAACCCTAAGAAAACCTAAACCCACCACACTTTTCTCTTGCCCACCTCGAGACAGGCCAAATCCCGGCGAGTGACGCGCAAGGCGGACCAGCTAAACGCCTCAGCTTGGATCCTAGACTCCTAGACCCAGGAGTAACCTAGGAAGAAAAAAAAAACCTGCCCTTTTTGGTTTAAGGGGATTATAAGGGAACCCCCACCCTAAAAAATGGAAGGAAGGGCCTCCTCCGGGTCCACAATTCTCAAAGGAAGAGTCCACATGTGAGTTCCGGGCCAGGGAGCCTCCCCAAGAGGGTTCAGGGTTTAGGGTTTAGGGTTTAGGGTTTAGGGTTTAGGGTTTAGGGTTTAGGGTTTAGGGTTTAGGGTTTAGGGTTTAGGGTTTAGGGTTTAGGGTTTAGGGTTTAGGGTTTAGGGTTTAGGGTTTAGGGTTTAGGGTTTAGGGTTTAGGGTTTAGGGTTTAGGGTTTAGGGTTTAGGGTTTAGGGTTTAGGGTTTAGGGTTTAGGGTTTAGGGTTTAGGGTTTAGGGTTTAGGGTTTAGGGTTTAGGGTTTAGGGTTCATGTGCAGGAAAAGAAGGCGTTTGACTGGGACTTGGAATTTCCCCCCACATCTTAAATCCTAAGACCTAGAAGCCCCATACGCCCTAAGCCTGAAGCCCTACGGCTTGGGCAACTGTAGATACAACGGGCTACCTGTAACCCTTCTTAGAAGTACGCATGAAACTAAACCCTCTAAAACCTAAAAAACAATTATTTTACTTCGAACATCCCCACCCTCTCTTGGTAGAGATACTCTAGGGTTTGGCAACACTCGGGGGCTGGGCACTCTAGGGAGACTCTGGGGTTGGGCACTCCAGGGAGACTCTGGGGTTGCACTCCAGGACACTCTGGGGCTGGGCGCTCCGGGGACACTGTAAGTTGGGCACTCTAGGGAGACTCTGGGGTTGGGCACTCCAGAGAGATTCTGGGGCTGGGCTCCGGGTTGGGCACTCTAGGGAAATTCCGGGGTTGGGCACTGCAGGGAGACTCTGGGGTTGGGCACTCCAGGGATGAGCGAGGAGCAGACCGGGCGAGGAGAAGAGTTCCGGGCGAGGAGCAGAGTTGGGTTTTAAATCTAACAACCCCACACCGAGGATGGGGAATAAACCCTAACCCCGATGACGGTGGCGGCGGCTTAGGCTCGGTCGCTTAGGCTCGGTCTACGGTTTTTAAGGGTTTTAGGACTCTAGGGGTTTGGGGTTTCAGGGTTTTTAGGGCTTCGAGGGTTTTGTTTGGGGGTTTTAGGGTTTTCCGGTTTTAAAGATTTTAGGGCTTTGGGGTGTTAGGGTTTTAGGGTTTTCGGGCTTTGGGGGTTTAGGGGAACCCTACACCTCGATGACGGTGGCAGCTTAGGGCTCGGCCTACAGTTTTTGAGGGTTTTAGGGGTTTGGGGCTTTGGGGCTTTGGGGCTTTTGGGGTTCCAAGGGTTTTGGGGTTTTAGGGTTTGGGAGTTTTCGAGTTTTAGGGTTTTGGGGGTTTAGGGGGAGGCTCCGGGTTGAAGGTTCTATGGTTTCGGCCTCAAGTGGCCTTTTGGGTTGGCCACCGGATGTAAGGTTCAGGGCTTTGGGCCCGGGGGGGGCGAGTACCACACGGGACACGGAACCATACAGCACCAGTAAGAGCAAAGCTTAGGGTTTAACGGGAAACCCGAAACCCAAAACCCTAAACCTTGAAACCCAAAACCCTAAACCTTGAAACCCTAAACCTTGAAACCCTAAACCCTAAACCCTAAACCTTGAAACCCTAAACCCTAAACTCCAAACTCAACCCTAGCTTAGGAACAAACGGTGAAGAACTGCCGCACCACGCGGCCCCCGCTGCCTCCCCCCGGATGTTTCCTGAGCTCCCCACCACCTCGTCGTCGACAGCGGCCATCCTCAAAGGAACCAGGGCCATTCCCAACCCTAAGCCCTAAACCCTAAACCCTAAACCCTAAACCCTAAACCCTAAACCCGAATCATGTCGGGTTCGGGGGTCGCTTCGGCAGCACCAGCTGCTCATGATCTTGACGATAAGGGTCCTTTCTATGACTTGAGGTACGGCAAACCTGGTAAACCCTGAAGTCGAAACCCTCACCCTGAACCACAATTAGGCGAGGTCCCTAAACCCTAAACCCTAAACCCTAAGCCCTAAACCCTAAACAAGATGTTCCAAAATTGAAAAGCATTGGGCGGGTGGTGGAAGTCTAGATGTGAGCTTTCGACTCAAGGGCTCAAGGTCTGAACATTCGGGCTGAGTTAGGGTTTAGGGTTTAGGGTTTAGGGTTTAGGATTAGGGTTTAGGGTTTAGGGTTTAGGGTTTAGGGTTTAGGGTTTAGGGTTTAGGGTTTAGGGTTTAGGGTTTAGGGTTTAGGGTTTAGGGTTTAGGGTTTAGGGTTTAGGGTTTAGGGTTTAGGGTTTAGGCTCATGCCCCGCAAAAAAAACTCTACACCAAAAGCTAAACCTGTGCACAACTTACACCCTAAAGCCCAAACCCTAAACCCCAAACCCCTAACCTGAAACTCTGAGCAGAGCCCTGCACGGAATAATTGCAAGTAGTATTCCCTTATGGCCCCTATGAAGATTCTACTATTCGTAACCCCCAAAACCCTATTCATTAGGGCCCCCTATGTTACCTAATTACCCTAAACCCTAAACCCTAAGCCCCAAGCCCTAAACCCTAAACCCTAAACCCCAAACCCTAAACCCTAAACCCTAAACCCTACTCTGATATTAAGGCCCCTATAGCAACACCTCGACTGCGGTCCGCATGCTGCCGAGCCACGGTGCAGGCTCCGAGGAGCTCCGCCTCCTCTTAGGGTTTAGGGTTTAGAGGTTGTTTAGGGTTTAGGGTTTAGGGTGTCGGGTGTAGGGTTTAGGGTTTGGGGTTTGGGGTTTAGGGTTTAGGGTTGAGGGCTTAGGGTTTAGGGTTGAGGGGGGTGTACGCGACTCATGTTTGATGGAGGCTTTGGGGTTTCTGGGACGTTCATTTCCAGGGTTAGGGTTGTAGGGTTTAGGGTTTTGCAAGTATCCAGAAACTCTTACGAGACGGACTTTGCGAGACCGTTGGAGACACCTCCCAAAGCATAGGACTGAAGGTTTATAGGGCTTAATGTACGGGCCCTGAATATTCTAGAAAGTTTTTTTTGGGGGAGGGGGTAAATATAGGTATAAGTATATAGGGAACTTAAACCCTAAACCCTTAATCCTAAACCCCAAACCCCAAACCCCAAACCCTAAACCCTAAACCCTAATTCCGACCCCTGTATGAGGCACTTGGACGCCTCTTCTGCGGGGCTTCTGCATCGGCCGCCACCGGAGCGGCACCAGGCATGTCCTTGGTCCAGGGTTTAGGGTTTAGGGTTTAGGGTTTAGGGTTTAGGGTTTGGGGTTTGGGGTTTGGGGTTTAGGGTTTAGGGTTTAGGGTTTAGGGTTTAGGGTTTTGGGTTTAGGGTTTCGGGCCTTCGGCTGGGCTTCCTTCGGCATCTCGGTGGCGGAGGCCTTGGCGGCAGGAAAAACCGAAACTTTGCAAAGCCTACAGGAGACTCCAAGCCCGAAGCCCTAAGCTCTAAGCAAAGAAGTGCTAAGCCCTAAACCCTAAACCCTAAACCCTAAACCCTAAACCCTAAACCCAGAGTTCTAAGCCCCAAACTCAACAAACCCGAAGCCCTGAACTCCGCTGGCACCTTCCGGTCTCTTCCTTCGGCCGAGGACTCAAAGGATTCCTTTCGTATTCAGGGTTTAGGGTTTAGGGTTTAGGGTTTAGGGTTTAGGGTTTAGGGTTTAGGGTTTAGGGTTTAGGGTTTAGGGTTTAGGGTTTAGGGTTTAGGGTTTAGGGTTTAGGGTTTAGGGTTTAGGGTTTAGGGTTGAGGGTTTTTAGGGCTCAGGGTTTAGGGTTGAGGGTTTAGGGCTCAGGGTTTAGGGTTGAGGGTTTAGGGTTTGGGGTTTGGGGTTTGGGGTTTGGGGTTTAGGGTTTCGCCCCTTGTCTCCTGAGCTCCTGGCCACCACGTCGTCCACAGTGGCCGCCCTGGGCCGTGGGCGAACTTCTGGAATAGGGCTGCAATAGCGCCCACGTAGATAGAAATTCGGGCTTGCCTGGCGTAGCCTGTATACATCCGAAGCCAGAACAGCAAAAAGTCTGAAGCCTAAATCCTGAACCCCGAACGCCAAGCTCTAAACCGGAATGCCGGAAACCTAAGCAACCCTAAACCCTAAACCCTGAAGCACTGAGCAATCAAACCAACAAACTAAGGCCACATGCCGCTGAGCCGCGGTTGAGGTGCAGAGGCGCTCCGCCTCCTTCCCGAGCCACTAGCATTTGGGTTTAGGGTTTCGGGTTTCGGGTTTCAGGGTTTGGTGGTTAGAGGTTTAGGGATTCGGGTTGCGGGCTCTTGGGGTCAGGCCATAGGAGCGCAAAGGACCTTCGGGGGTAAGAAGAGGGGATGAGTTTTAGGGCCTGGGTCTCGGAACCCCTGCAGTTTCGAAGAGATGAGGCGCCCCGGTCCTCTTCAGCGAGGCATCGGCATCGGCCGCCGCCTCCGCCGCAGCGCCGTCCTTTTCCTTGGGCCGCGGCTTGGGTGCCTGGGCGCCGGCGACTTTGGAGCTGGGACCCTAAGGCAGCGAACACGAAAAGTCAGGCTCCACCGTGTGCTCGAAGATCTGTGTCCAAGACCCTAAGGTCCTAAGGTCCTAAGGTCCTAAGGTCCTAAGGTCCTAAGGTCCTAAGGTCCTAAGGTCCTAAGGTCCTAAGGTCCTAAGGTCCTAAGGTCCTAAGGTCCTAAGGTCCTAAGGTCCTAAGGTCCTAAGGTCCTAAGGTCCTAAGGTCCTAAGGCCATAAATTCCTCAGGTCCAAGATCGCACTGTCCTAAGGTCCTAAGGTTCTAAGCCCTAATTTCTCTTGGCGCGCCTTCTGGGCGACTTCCTTCAACGGCCTCTTGGCAGGCTCCAGGGGAGTTGCAGCTGCCGCCTCAGCGCGGTGAGGGCTTTTCACCTCATGCAGCGTCCGAGGTTCCCTCTGGCCCTGATTCCCCCCCTCTAAATTCAGCAACCCCTAAATTCTCATCGGCTGGGAATTTACAGGCAATTCAACTGCGTTTAGGGTGGGTGGGGGGCGGGGGACCACGTTCGGGGTTACTTACCCTCCTTCAAAGGAAGCAACCAAGTGCTTCAAGGAGGCATCAAGCAGCAATTGCCTCCCACCTGGTGCCATGGCAGCTCGGGAGCTTTTAACGGTGACAACTCAAGTCACGGGTTCTCCTAGTACTCCCCTCTATACTACCCCCTAGGTTGCCCCCTTGAATAACCTCAATTAGGCTTAATTAAGTATCCTTAATAGCCCTAATTATGAGGGGAAGCCAGGGGGTAGTAGAAAGGGGGGTGGTAGGGGAACCCATGATCAAGGCGAAGCAACTCCGACCCCCCACGACACAGCTCGAAAACCTCAAATCCTAAACCCAAGACCCCGCAGCCCCAACAACGCATAACCGCGCCTCAAACCCTCAGCCCTAAGCCCTAAACCCTAAACCCTAATCTTTACACCCCAAACCCTAAACTTTACACCCCAAACCCTCAGCCCTAAGCCCTAAACCCTAAACCCTAATCTTTACACCCCAAACCCTAAACCCCAAGCCCAACAAACCTGTGGATGCTTCTTCTTTGTGGGAAGCAGGGAGATTGCAGGGTCAACTCTCCCACCTACAGCCCACTTTGTGGGCAGCGCCCCTACTATCTGAGACGGCATCATTTGGGGTTAGGGTTTAGGGTTTAGGGTTTAGGGTTTAGGGTTTTAGGGTTTAGGGTTTAGGGTTTAGGGTTTAGGGTGTAGGGTTTAGGGTTTAGGGTTTAGGGTTTAGGGTTTAGGGTTTAGGGTTTAGGGTTTAGGGTTTAGGGTTTAGGGTTGTTTAGGACTTAGGGCCTAGGGTTGGGACCCAGGAGGAGACCATTACTTAGAGAACTTGCCATAGACAGCCTTGGGGGTAAAGGGCTTAGGGTTTAGGGTTTCGGGATTGGGGTTTAGAGTTTAGGGTTTAGGGGTTGTAGCAAGCTTGAAACCTCAAAAAACGAAAACTGATCACAAACTCAACTTCTAAGACCGCTCCCGGGCGCCTGCGGGGCGAGGCGCCCGCGCACGCGACGGCTGCTCCTCCTCGACTGCGTTTCTTCGTTGGGGCTCTCGTAGGCTTCGAGGCCTGTCAGCTTTCATTACACCCCAAACCCTAAACCCTAAATCCTAAACCCGAAACCCTAAACCCCAAAACCCGAAACCCTAAACCCCAAACCCTAAACTTAAACCCTAAACCCGAAACCCTAAACCCGAAACCCTAAACCCCCGAAGCGTCCTTCTCACTACCCGAAGCTTTCGCTGCCCCAAGGAGCTCCGGAAAGAGGACACGCACCTGCAAAGTAGACGGTTTAGGGTTTAGGGTGTAGGGTTGAGGGTTTAGGGTTAGGGTTTAGGGTTTAGGGTTTAGGGTTTAGGGTTTAGGGTTTAGGGTTTAGGGTTTAGGGTTTAGGGTTTAGGGTTTGGGGTGTGGGTTTTCGGGTTTCGGGTTTAGGGTTTAGGGTGTAGGGTGTTGGGTGTAGGGTGTAGGGTGCAGGGTTTAGGGCGGGTGTAGGGTTTGGGGCTTAAGGCGACGGTGGTACACCGGAAGCAACACCATAGGGCTTTTTAAGTCTTTATGAGTTCTATGAGTTTTTTTCAGAGGTTATAAGTTGTTAGGGCTTGTAGGGATAGAGCTTGTAGAGATAGTGCTTGTAGGGTTTCTTGGGCTTCTAGAGTTTGTAGGGTTTATAGGGCTTGTAGTGGGCTTCCTTGTGGGGCTGACAGGGCGCATAGGGTTTATATGGTTTGTAGGGTTCATAGGGTTTGTGAGTTTTCTAGGCCGTTCTGGGTTTGTA